CCATACCATCACACAGGTCTACTAAGTTTGACATATGACTTCAGGAGTTGCTTATAGCTTACAAATATCCAGTGGTTTGAGATATTTTTTTAATCCTTTGCATTTGCTTAAAAATCCATAAAACCTTAAGATCAAGTTTTTCAACAATATAGGTACAATATAATAATACAACACAACTGAGTTACAAACAGTGGTCTTGCAAAACAGCAAGTTTTGTTCTTCACGCATTCTATGAGAACTAGGTTGAAAGGAAAACTTGTCCAAAGAACTTGCACTTCTGGTAAGTGAAATATGAAATGTATTCCCAAGATTTGAAGATTTGAAAATGTACAACATAGAACTGTTTCATTGTGGCTCTATTTTTATCAACAAAAAGTTGTAGAATTGTACTACAGGTTGTTTTTACCTTATTGAACCTAGCCCACATACATAAAGAATGTCTACAGTAAATGTGTGTGTCTGAGAGAGTCTTACTAATATTTGAATAATTTACTGTCTGTACATTTTAATATTGTCTTTTTAACAACGTAAGCCGCCTTGGGTCCTTTTTTAAGAGAAAGGTGGGATTAAAATATTTTAAATAATAAATAAAGATCAGTGACTGTAACACAGCTTGGAGAAGAAAATAGTTTTGATTTTTTTCTTCAGTTTTTGAATATCTCATTTCATAGAATGCCATTTTAAGGCAAGGCAGATCAGCAGATCAGAAGGTTACACTACTGATATCTCTGAGATAAACATACTCTTTCTTCTCTGCTTGAAAGTTCACCATACTGCAGATTCTGAATCTTCGAAGGGTTGAAAAGCAAGTGCTCAAACTCTGCCCTGCAGTAATTTATTTGTTAAGGCGAAACCTGTTCTGAATTTTTAAAGCAGAAGTCACTGCTATGATCTTGGAAAAGAGAAAGTGATCTCACCACCAAGGTCAAGCTAGTTCTTGTTTCTACATCCCGAACTTGGATTATTTACACAATAGAAACAGAGAATTGGACACATACAGGGGCACATTTCATACCATTACATCACAATCAAGCATTATCTGCCACAGATTATTTGCTAATCAGAGCATATGAAGGAAACATACTTAGGCCTTTAAAGACAATATAAATGACTTGCTCTAAGTTAAAAAAAAAGTCCCTTTTAGGCACCTGGAAAAATCATAATGGTGTTTGACCTAGATTTGTTACCTCAGGTGTTCTTATATTACTATTGCATTGATCCCAATGGATTATTAAATAGGCCAAGCTTGACACATAATCTATCACAAGGATACAAAAAATAAAACTTTGTTTGATCACACTACTGTATTTACAAGTAACCAGGAACTCAAAGAATAGCAGCAATGTAGTCCACAGTAAAAGGAAAGATTTGCCATATAACACAGAAAATATCCATTTATTGTGTAGCGTTTGAAGAATGTATATATTTGCCTTTTGGAAGAAGCTTGCAGGTATCTATGAATTTTTAATCCATGGACAACTTTCTCGCATACCTGCATCTGTACAAAGTTTTTCATGATTTTTCCTCTTCAGTTACAGTAGGGAAGGACAATGAGAAGAGCGGGGCAGATCCAAAGGCTGCTCTGGGTTGTTTTTTACCCCCAGGATCTTCTTGGATTGTCAAAAATTATGATGGAGGGTTGGGGAGAGTGGAGGGGGAAACTCTGTGAATCATAGGTGGCTGGAAGTCAACTTAGAGTTTTTAAGAAACTGGGTGGATGGGTGACCTATTTGGCAGATGAAGCACTAGTCCTATTTTTCAGGGGGCCCTCCTAAAAGAGCAATCCCTCAAGGAGGTAAGAGGGATGCCTTGTAAACAAAGGGCCTTTTCGGCAGTCGTCCTCAGACTATGGAATGCCATCTCAAGGGAGATTCGTCTGGTGCCGACGTGGATGGCGTTTCAGCGCCAGGTCAAAACCTTCCTGTTCCAGAAGGTTTTTAACTGAAATAATATCAACGGTGGGTCCTGATGGCAATTTTTAGAGCATTGTATTTTTAATTGTATTTTAATTGTTTTTATCTTTTTCATCCTTTTATTGTATTCAAATTGTTGTAAGCTGCCCAGAGACCTTTGGGGAGTGTGGGCGGCATATAAGTTAAATAAATAAATAAATAAATAAATAAATAAATAAATAAATAAACATACATACATACATACATACATACATACATACATACATACATACATACATACATACCTTTTTTGTGGGAGCAAGGAAAGTTATTTATTCAACTGAAGGATATAGTTGAAGGATAAAAGAAGAGGCTGTGGGTGTCCATACAGTTCCGTGGCTGCACTTAGGCCATATTTGTTTTAGAGCGTGATATCTGTGCCCTCTTTGTATGTGTATCCCTGTGTGTGTGCCCATTTTCTGTACAATTTTAAATGTATGAATTGCTTGAACACTTTCTCCCAGTGACTATGAGAGAAAGCATGTTTTGCCTTTGCTTTTTTTGCACACATTTATAATTTTATATGTTGTTTTATTTTTTTACACATCCATAGCTGTCCATCAATATGAGAATTTGGGACCATAAATTGTTTTTACCTCCTGGTCTGTCTGAGAATTGTGAATTGAGGCAAGATTTTCAAACTTCAGACTAAAACCAAAGTCTCTGTTTCTGAGACTAATTTGTAACCTTCAGCTCTGACACTGACTCAAGATACCATACGACAAATTCTGGAGTGGGCAAAAGATAATTATTAAGTTTTTCTTCAGCTGGGCAAATTTATTGATAGTTTTATGACTTTTTTGAATTCTGGCATTTTCTTCTTTTTTGGCAAAAAATTCATAGTAATGATTTTTGTACAAAAAGTTTTATTTGTATAAAAACTTGTATTTTGTTCAGGTTATTTTACAGAATACAAGATTTTCTGCACAAATGACAAGGTTGTTTTTGTTTCATTTCATTTCTGTTGCTGTTCCTGATGAAAAAGCAATGGCATTTTGTGCCATTGTAAGAATGAAAACTCTCCCAGCAGTTGGCCATTTTTAACATGTAGATACACTAATCTTTTTTGTCAAGAACTTCTTTGACATTTTTTGTACAGAAATTGTGAGAGCTGCACAAAGTCCCACAGTTCTGGGCAGCCATAATTATGTGGGCTGCCATTGTACTTGCCTTGACCCTGCTACTGAAGTTGAGGCTAGTGGACTGAAAATGGCACTGCTGGCCGCCAAAGCATAATAGCAGTGACTGCTGGAGCGTAATCAGTGGGGCACAAGAAACAAAGCAACTAAATAATTTTTATCTTGGATTCAGGCCTCTGGTACTGAGGTTTCAATTTGCTGCATTGACTACAGTGGTCTTTTAGGCCAGATGGGCGGGGTATAAATCAATCAATCAATCAATCAATCAATCAATCAATCAATCAATCAAACAAACAAACAAACAAACAAACAAACAAACAAACAAACAAGTAAATAGTGTTACTGCAGGGTGGGATACAAATACAGTTCCTTTCCATTTTTTGCTTCTGGTGCAGTAAAGAAAGACGACAGAGAAATTTTAACTTACCATGGAAAATGGTGACAGTGCTGGTGGTGGTGGTGGGGGGAAGGGTTTGGTTTGGTTTGGTTTCTCCCCTAAACAGGGACTGATGCCATTAAGTGGCTAACTAGGTACTCTTTTTGAGTACCTAGTTAGCCACCTAATGGCACCAATCCCTGTGCCATGTACCTCTTTTCCCTCTCCCTCTTATTTTCATTTCTTACTTTGCTGAAACCAACTTGTAACTGGGTAAAAGGAAATGACAAAAGAGATGTGTTATGTCCTTTCTTTGCCTATACTGACCAAGTTCCCTGAGCCCGTGCTTAAGAAAGCAGGATGTCTTTTCTCGGAACTCTTTCCCCACCCCAGTCCTGCTCTTTCAGCTTCTCCTCCTTTTCATCTTTTTAGGTCACAGTATAAAAGGAAGGTTATTTTTTTCAGGGCATGTTCCAGAAATGAGAGCCATGATCTTGCATGTCAATACAAATTCGTATTTACAAGAATAGAAGGAAAACTCTAGACAACTCTCCATTCTGCTTTACCACAAGGACTCATCAAATAAGCTCATCATTCATAATTCTTTTTCCTCCACTCCTTCACCTCCTTTCGTTTTCTAGCAGAGGCTGGACAACAGCACGGCAATTCTGGCTAATGACATTCTGCTGCACCCATCAGCATAATTGCTTCTACATCTAATTTATTAAATATGTAGCAAGCTGAGCAAATGCACATTGAGGCTGCAATTCTATGCACTCCCCCATATATATACAGAGGAAGAGAGATTGAGAGAGAGCATGTGTGTGTATAGGACCAAGGGAATGATGGCAAATAACTGAGCTGTCCCAATCCTTGCAAAAGGTATGCTGCGCCACCTCTTCCCTCCATATCGTACTGTTCCAACACAGACAGGCATACAAACAATTTTATTTAATTTTATTGTAAGCCGCCCTGAGTAGACATTGTCTAGAAGGGTGGGATAAAAATCTAATAAATAAATAAGCAGAAACACACATATAAAGATACCACTGGTAGAGATAGTGAGCCAAGCTTTCAGCAGAAAACAAAACAGAGAATGACAATTTTCCCACCAGAACATTCCAAGATAAAGGGATTTTTTTAAAAAAAAAAATATATGGGCATTGATGGTCTGTGTCCACATCACCACCCATTTTCTTTCCAGCATTTGGAAACGAGAGAGGAACATTAAATCTGAAATAATGAATTTAAGGATATTAAGGGAAACCACCTGGGGTCTTCCTTCTTTTTTCTTCGATGCAGCTATGTAAAATGAGGTAAGCAAACAAGCAAGTGCAGATGCAGGCAATACAATATATAACCACAAATGCTGTGTTTATAATATTTGAGCCTTGATGCCTTAAGATACTGTTTTAGAGGAGGTGGCAGAGGTGGGGGCACTGAAGAGAGTCACGCCTGGGGAAAAAGTGTAGCCTTGCCCTATCCTGATGGAACAGCTTCCCCTGCATATTTGCCTAGTTAGGCAATCCTTACCTTGCCATCCAGGTTTGCACACAGGCTTGACTTCCACTCGCACCAGGACAACCTCAGTGGCACGTTTTTGCCCACAGTCAAAAGCTGTCACCATTATCTCATACTGATGCTGTTTGTCATAACTCAGCTTCTCAGTGTTTCTGATATTCCCTGTAGATATAACATACAAGAGTAAACATCTACTGTTCATGCAACTGCCTGTAATGAAATGTATAATAATTGTATTATAAAAAAGATTTCAATATAATAGGAAGGAAAACATAGAAAGCTACAAGATGGAAGAATTGGTCTTTCATCATTCAACTGGATAATACTGAGTGAAGAAATGGTAAAGACAAACCAATATGGTATTTCTAATGGAGGCCATAATGATGAATCTGAAATATCTTAGTGGAGAAGCTCTTGTACACTTAGTGGAGGATATGCCAGAAACTCTTCTATGCTGGTATAATGTGAGAGATGCTACTGTCAGGAAAGAACAAACTACATGCAGAGGTTCAACACAATCACACAAGCACTGTGAGTGCTTTGTGGTGAATGTACTTACAGTATCTACTTCAGTGACTTCCATGTGAGGAGGGAATATGGGAGCAGGACTTAACATCCTTTTATACCTGTACAAAATTTCAGGTATAACACTTGAAAAGCTTTGCTACAATCCCCAAATAGTCTGATCCTTCTTCCCTCTGCCAGAAGACAAGGCTAAGGCACGAACACTCACAGTCTGAAACCTCATAAGATTTGTAAAATCTCAGGTGTCATAACATTTTGGCCCTCCATCATGTTGCAGTGACCACAGACATCCAGCCAGGTCAAAGCTCATGTCCATGGCATTCAGGAGACAACCTAAGCACTACACCAAGTGACCAGCAACATTAGCCAGAACAGCACCTATTTAGGGCCTGGTCCCCCACTTTCTGCTTCACAAAGTTCCTGCTTTAGGCAAGAATGAGTGAATGAGGGCATTCTCTAACCATTTCTATGGTGAATCTGCCCAGCTTTTTTTAAAAATATACAATATTGCACTAGTAGATGAAAAATAACATTCTTGTGCCGCAAAATCAACCTGACAGAAACATAAATGTGACAAATCACCTGTCCTGATCACAAAGAAACAGCAGCGTTCACAGAAAATGGGGAAAGGAAAGTGGAAATTGAAGTTATACCTTCTGGAGGGATAGGAAGGCCTTACAATTCTGAAGTATTCTTGGTAATTAATGAGTTCAGCATTTTAATTTAGGCCATTTTCACAGAATGACAGTTCCCTCGCCAGCTGACAGTTGGAAATGTTTAATATACATTTTATATTATGTGCGTTAACAAATTAAAGTTTTTTGTAGCCAACAAATGTTTAATCTTCTCATATCCTGAAGCTGTGCTCAGTTTTTCATTGTGTATTCAGCTACTATTCTTTACATTCTATATCCATACCAAAGTGAATTACATGATTAAAGTAGTTTAGATGGAATTTTGAAACTTTGGCTAACTGAATCACTTTAATATTTGGATGTGTCTTCAGATCCATTCAGCTAAGGCGAGCCTATCAGCCCTCCTCTCTCTCTCTCTCTCTCTCTCTCTCTGTGTGTAGTGTTCACTCTGCTTATGAATATTTATGTTGAAATTTGCATGCACCAATAGAAGTTGGTGGGGAGAGGGTTAAAGGGAGAGAAGAAAAGGAGAAGAGTAGGCGGTGGAGAGTGGAGGAAGAAGGTTGTTTAGTTGAGAGTTAACGACATTGACTGAACTTATATACTTGTAACAATAAACAATTTCTACTTGGTTCTTAAATGATACGTTGCCCAGACATCTGCTATTAATAGTGAATAAAGTTGATGTAATCAGCTGGTGGCAGCTGAACGACATGTAGCTTGTGCCTTTGCTTGGTGAAACAACCAAGGGATAGGTGGGAACATGACAATGTGTTCGTGAAAGACAAAGAGAAAGAAAAAAGAAAAAAAGAGAGAATAAAATGAACAATATACAGAAGAAATGTCTTCAAACATAATCCTATACACAAGCTGTCAGTCTTACTCCACTAATACAGTAAAGATCAGTAATACCCACAGTTAAACCAGTATATTACAATTAGAGACAGGATATTCATCTCTCAGGGGAGATGAATTTATTTTTTATTTATTACATTTATAGCCCGCCCATCTAATCATATAGACTACTCACAGGTGGCTGGGCCAATTGGACCCTTCCCTAGAACCAGGCTGTCCACTTACCGCTTGCGTGGTGTGCATGGTCATAGTTCATACCACAACAATCACAGAAGTAGCGCAGCCAGGGCTTCCTGCCTCTCTGCACTGCTGACCAATCCAGTGAGGAGGCAGGATGATGTCTCACTGCTCAGCTGCTGAGTGGTCAGCAGTGCAGGAAGGTGAGGAAGCCCTGGCCAGGCTACTTCAGCGATTTGCACAGCACGAATGACAATGGGCACATGCACCATGCTGTAAGCAGCGAATGGACAGCCCATTTCTAGGGTAAGGGTCCAATCGGCACAGCTACCTGTGGTAGCAATATTTGTATTCATTTCCCCCTGGAAAATGACTAAGAATATCCCATCCATAATCACAATAAAAGCACAGGCTGATAAAATGGTGCAAATATTACAAGTTGGATTATAAAAGTATATTTTGTAGAATTTTGTTTGTGTTATTCTATACGTCTTACCTTTGCATTTATTTCTGTTTACTTATGGAATACCAGCAACAATGAAGACCATAATTTATTATTTGAGAATTCTCTGTTTCTCTAGACATTGATTATTATTCATAAAGGTTATTTCAGTTTTTTATGCACCTGCTGTAAGATGAAAGTTAGATCTCAAAATATTGTAAGCTTGCTGCTGATATAATGTTTAAGAATCTACTGCCAGAGAATATGTTCCTTCTTCCATTTCCTGTAAATTCCACCACTTTTCCATCATTTGCTTCAATAATGGCACAGATACAGCCAAACAGATATCATAGTTTAATATCAAGAACAATTTAAAACCCAGCTCAAAATCTTCAGATCACTGCAGAACTGCAAATTCTACTTATTTAAAAAGGGGTTTTCTTTGGTGGTGTGTGTGGATGTCTGGTAAAAGTGATAGTGTGCATAGCCATGTCAGCATGCTATCACTGTTCAGTTTTTCCTGAACAAAGAAATCACCACACTCCGTAGCAATGAAACGTGAGTGACAGGGATAGAATTCTAAGATTTTCTGAAGAACAAATACTATAATTTTCTACCCTGGGAATCTTACTCACCTTACAGAAACCTAAATGTAATGCACCTGGGAGAAAGACCTAAACTTGAAGGCTCTGAGGCTTAGCTAAGCCTTGCTCTTTTCATCTGCAGGAACAATTCTACAGATGTTGAATCTAGCTAACCAACATTAACAGGCTTCTGGATTTGTCTTAACACATGCACACATGTACCAGGGATGTTGGCAAGTCTTTAGGCCCTAGTCCCAAGTCCAAGTCTTTGGTACCAAGTCCCATGTCCCAAGCCTGAAGTCCGAGTCCCTATTTAAAAACTTTTTTTTTCAAAGTTGTTTTAATTAAAAAGCTTTTAAGTTCAATCTTCTCCTTCTATCCAGCCCCTTTCTCTCTCTCCCCAAGAGGCCTGATGAGGAGTCAGAGGAGGAAGGCTCGCAAAGCTCTAGCACAGCTCTGTGATTAGCACAGTTTGTAGAACTCAGAAAACTCTGGCCTCTACATTTTTTGCCTGGCAAGGGAGTGCTAAGAGGAGCAAAGTGGTGAACACTGGAAAGCATGTGCACAGCATGCTGGGATATGTAGGCTGATAAGGCCTGATGGCAGAGGGTAAAGTGTTGGTGGGTTGGCAGCTCTAGACTGAGGTAAATAAATAGTTGCTGAGAGAGGAGGTGAAAGAATGAGGCAGGAGAGCCCACCTGAAAACAAATAAATAATGGGAGTGAGTTTGGTTATGTACTTGAGGGCTGAGACCCTCAGAAAAAAAGGTAGACCAGTGGACTGACCAACAAAAGGCCTGTCTCCATTAAAATAATAGGGACTTAAAAACACGACTTGGAAAAAGGGGACCAAGTCATAAGTTGAGTCCAAGACTTTTTAAAAAATCCAAAGTCTCTGGTGCAACTTAAGTCCAACTTCACAGTAAGTCATGACTTGCAAGTTCCTACTCCTGATATGTACACATACAAACACGCACACAGTGTGAAATTCAAGGTTCATCAAGTCTTCATAATTATATACAGTGGTGCCTTGCTTGACAATGATAATGCGTTCCAGCAAAATCGCTGTACAGCAAAATAGTTGCCAAGCCAAAAAAACCCCACAACCCATTGAAATGCAATGAAAAACAGTCAATGCGTTCCAATGGGGGAAATACCTGATCGTGCAGCGAAGGTCCTCCATAGGGTGGCCATTTTCCGCTCCCTGTCTTGCAAAATGAGGTCAGCAAAACAGTGGGGAGCCATTTTGAGAGTCACCGATCAGTTGTTTTAAAATTGCTGTGAAGCAAAAAATCAGTTCCCGAAGAAGGGAACCAATTGTCGTAAAGCGAAAAAAAAAAAACATTTGAATCATCGTTTTGTGATCGCTATAGCGATTGCAAAAATGTCATTGTCAAGCGATTTCATCAACTACCGGGGTAATCATCAAGCGGGGCACCACTGTATTTCAAAATTTCTTGCTATTTTAAAAATTCAGTGACTGAAAGGTTATTGGGATGAGTTCTAAATTTTGACTAATTGCAAATACTTGACTGAACCCACTTAGTCTGTTCATAGCTCCTTCTTGAATTCCTGGCTTAATTCACAGTCCCATGCAGCAAAACAGATGAATGTAAAGTAACCTTGCTCAAGACATTCCTAGCACTTAAGCTCAAAGCATTAAGAATCAATCAGAGTTTAGACACAGCCTCTTAAATTTGTAATTTGAATACATCTAAGCAAAGAAAATGAATGAATAATATGTATTAAACTGACACTACAGGGTAGAAGTGTAAACCAGTTAAAATAGAGTTCACTCCCAATAGAACAGCACGTATTATTATACCTATAGAAAACTGAATAAACGCTCTCTAGAACACTAAAATGATTTTAGTAAGTAAAAATAAAAAGATTCATGGCTCCTACATTCTGTCCTGGGACCCCAAATCTGGAGAGTACATAAATTTTTTTAGTTGCAACATCAACACCACTTTCAGTACTTCTACATACACTAATTCATATACAGATGAACATCTGAAACAAACAAAAACAGTTTTTCCAACAACTATAATTTTAATATTTATATACCAACTATAATCACTAAGGCTGTGATTACCAAAACACAGATAAAGTTCAACTATATTGCCATTAGTTACACTGGGCTGACTTTTTCCTTTGGTAGGTGCATTTTCTGTTGTTTAGTTTTGTTTTCAATAATGTGTCAAAAGGGGAAAGGAAGCACATGCTTTCTTGGGGGGGGGAGAGCACATGTTTTTAATGGAACAGAAAAATGTATTTAGATATATTATAACAATATTAGATGTGGCCACTAGGAGCTTGTCAATAATAACAATAATAACTCAACTTGTTAATAATAATTAACACAGGGAATTGCTTCTGCAATTGCTTGGCTGCTGACAAGAGAAACAGTAACACAATGCATGCAATCCAGTAGTCAGTTGCCACTAGAGTAGGGCCATTGAAGCATTTGGAATCTGTCAACTCAACATGTATGTAGGCTCTATTGATTCAGTGGGTTAAGTCTTGTTGTGACTTACTAGTGAATTATTTTAAATGAGTTATTTAAAAAAAACAATAATGTTTCTAGCTTTGGGTAACTTGACAACACAGCTGAACTTTTCTCAGTATTCACAAAACAAATACAAAACAACCCCCCCTCCCCTGCCTGAAAGTTCAAGTACTCTTTTCACAAACCTGGAATAAAGAGAAATCAGCCACAAATGCACAAAGACTAATGTGATATACCTTCATTTTACAAATTCCATATCAAAGCAGTCTTTCCAATAAAGAACAACTAGATGAAATAGATTTTGATTACCTAAACTCTATTTCAATCATCTTGATAATCCACCTCCATATAATACTAACAATATTTGCCTTCCAGCCATACTATTGTAATGAGACTAGGGATTCTTTTCACCACATTTCCATTTTACTGATACTAACTAGTTATTATCCTTTGACGCTCAGCTCTGCATCATGAGAAATCAGTTCAAATAAAGACAGATGCATGTAAAACAAGGGAGATGGTTCCCATAAAACAGTGCAGCATGAAAAGGCTGATAAGAAGAAACAAAAGCTCCATACACTTTCATTTTATAATTTTGGCAACAGTCAGATGGAACTTCAAAAATAAAAGTATCTAAAATGATACCAAAGATCAAATTATTATGCTGGGAAAGATACGCTGCTTCCTCCTTTAAAAGTATTTTATTATAATGAGTAGCGATGGGCATGAAACGAACCACAAAACAAAATTGGGCCATTTCATGGTTCATTTTGTGACACTTCGGGGAAATGCATCTGCCCAGAAAGACAAAAAAAATGGCAAACTATTATTAGCACTGGTGATTTTTGTGCTTTGTATAATTTGCAATGTCCAGGAGAAGAACACACATGAATTAGAGATGCCAAATTAGAGATGCCAAATGTACAGCGAGTATTCAGCTGATTCTCCTCCCCATTCCTTCCAGGTTTGGCAGGGACTGGATTTGGGCATCTGAGTTATAGCCTCCCAAACAGATTCCCCCAAAAAGTATTCTTTAGCCAGCAAGTACTGACCACAGGAGGGTATCTTGTAGACCAAACCTGGGGAATCATGGGTCATCACATACATGTGTTGTAGCCCTTCTGAAATAATTTCTTCCTTGACCTTTCAGAGCAGAATATTAAAGTTAATGTGTTTGCATATGTATGAGAAACAGGCCCTTTGGGGGAGAAAGAAGCCTCTACATTCTGAGAAGGCACGACTGGGATTATTTTTTGGGGGGAAAAAAGAAATGCCAGTGGAAAGCTATATTTCTGCCCCTTTCACAAGGAAGGGATTTGAGCTATGACACATCACTTCTGGAGAGCCTAAAGAAGGGAAGGAAAAGGAAAAAGAAGAAAAATTCCATGAGTAAAATAAACCCCCAGGAAGGAGTCAGAAAAATAAACAACATGCCTCTTTTGCAAGAAAAGCTTCTGAGAAGGATCTGAGGAGGTTTTGTCCCCTACTTGGGAACCATGATTTCCTTCCACCCCTGGCCCCTCTTTGAAGTCCTTTGCCTTCTATTATCTCTATCTTTAACCTCCCCCAGCCTGTTCTCTCCCCAGTTTTGAAGTGGTGGTAGTGTTAGAGGCTGAAGCACTAGGAGGGTGATCAGCAGAGGCATTTATGATGCCACCATCTTGAGGGATGGTGATGACAATGTTGTGATGGTTGGGGTTGCAGGTCATTTGGTAATTATAAAAGGGGGTTGTGACTCTAAAGAGGTTGGGAACCACTGCTGTAGTGCTCCTGTCATTGGTGTTGTCAACATTCAGACTTCTTTTTGCTATGTAAAGCTTGGCATCCTTTTTCCTTCTGGCAATATAGGCATGATATTGGGTCATTTTGTGGTGTTTTGAAACATGGATACAGAAATATGGATACAAAAGAATTGAAGAATTGCATTTCCTGGCTTTTTAAAACAGATGTTTACATATGCTACACACACATTCCAACAGAAACCTCCATCCTGTAGAATTACTTCTTATAATATCTACATCAATGTTCATTCTTGAAAATAAATCTGGACATAGGAGCATATAGAGACTTTTATGCACTGAGAAATAAAAAGTATATTTTTTGATATATCCCTTCAACTTCCTCCAAAAATCCTTCAAATTCTTATTCTCTTCAAAACTGTTATATTATTTTTCTCCTTTTAGATGGTATTTGATTTACCTTTCTCTTTATCCATTGCCATATTAAAATCCTCAACTGTTATAAGAAATCCTTTCCTTATTTCTTCTAATTCATTAAACAGTTCTTTTAAAAGAAAGTTTAATTTACATATATTGAACAAACATCAAGGTACAGTGGTGCCTCGCATAGCGAGGTTAATCCGTTCCGGATTAACCCTCGCTATGTGAAAACATCGCTGAACGGATCAAGAAAATGGGCCGAAAACTCACCGTTCAGCGATGTTTTCCTATGGCCGGCAGCCATTTTCACGCCCTTCCCTCGCTTACCGAAGGTGCGAAAACACTGCGTGTGGCCATTTCGGGGCTCCCGAGGGTGCGAAAACACTGCGCGTGGCCATTTCGGGGCTTCCGGCGGCCATTTTGGAGCTGCCGAACAGCTTATCCGTGGATCGCAAAGCGAAGGTCGGTAAGCAAAACGCTTACCGACCTTCGCTATGCGAGTTTCGCCCATTGGGGCCATCGCTTTGGAAAAAAACCCTCGCTATGTGGACTCGTCGTTCTACAGTGCGCTCGTTAAGTGAGAAAAAAACCTCGCTATGCGGACTTGTCGTTCTACGGTGCGCTCGTTAAGCGGGCACCACTGTATATTCCCCTCCCATGATGAACTGCAACATTATATATCTACCGCAATCATCTTTTTCTTCATTTTATTAAATTTAAATTCACATTTCTGAGAAATAATGGTTGTAACCCCTCTTGACCTTGAACTAGATACAAGATACAAAATACAAACTATAATAATTGAGCTCCCACCACCATCGGGACCTTCTTGAGAACTCTTCTTCTCATTGTCCTCCTTTCCAGAATTGCATTGATCTTTGTGTTGCGACTTTTCCTTTTCCTCTTGTTAACACAAATTCAATGAATCTACCCCATATATCATAAAAGAGTCTTCTTTATCTCCCCATTCTTAACTTTTAGAATACAAGTCAATTTATCATTTACAGCAAGATTCCAAACTTCATTGTACCATTCTTCCAGTTGAAATTCATGCTTAGATTTCCAATTCCTAGCTATAATTAATTTTGCAGCAAACAAAAAATTGGTAAGCAATTCTCTAGTTATAATATCATCATCATCAATATCAAATATTGATAACAAAGCCATTTCTGGATTCAGCTTTATATCTTTATCAAAAATATCTTTTAATTCCTTAGTAATTAATTTCCAAAATTTTTGTACCCTTTCACACTCCCGCCAGAAATGAAAATATGTACCAATTTCGTTACCACATTTACAACAAACATTTGAATATTTAGTATTTACTTTACTCAATTTAAGATGGTTAAGTACCATCTTAGAACTATTGTATAGAAGGTGATACTACAGTAGATTTCCAATTTGATTTTAAGAAAGGAAATGTTCTGAATACTAAATTATTCTTGAAAGATATTCAGCATGAACTGTGCAATCTAAAGAATATGCAGGATTGACAGAAGCATGATTAAAAATGTTTTTAAAACCCCAGTAATGACTGTAAGGTAAATTAGCAAGACAGGTACATTTACTACCCCACAAGTGCTCTCCAGAAGTGAGTCCAAATGCATCAGTTAAGCTGCAGCTCTAATATGCATAAATGTGCATTAGCAAATACTCACCATTTCTGTCAATGGCAAATGGCACTTCTGTAGTGACAATTTCATAATTGCATATCTGGCTATACTGAGGAGAACAATCCTCATCCATAGCTTCCACTTGAAGTACACTGTCATAGATTTTTCCTTCTGTCACAGTAGCTTTGTAAGTTGTTTCTTTAAAAGTGGGTGCAAACTCATTGACATCCTTTACCTGGATATGGACCACAGCCCTTAAATGGTAAAAAAGAAAAAGAAAAAAGGATACATCTGATTCTTACAGTAACTCATAAATATGCTTTCATTTTCCAAACCTAGCATGAAATGTTCTGACTTTCTTCTTTATGCCAAAATGCTTTAGTCATAATTAGGGGGAGGATTTCTATGCCATGTCATTTTTTCTGCAACGTATGTTTGAGTTTATCAATAGGTTTGAGCCTCTTCATGAGTAATCTAGTGAGAAAGGCCAGATTACTCATAAACATGTCTGAACTTGCCTATGGGTCCAAATGTAGGTTCCAGAGTAAATGTGAAATGTCACAGTAATTCATCCCTCAGTAATAAATGTACCAAAATGAAGATCAGGTGAAGGTAACAGTGTACATAGAAAAGTAAAAGGTTACAGTGTAAATAAAGCACTGTTGCAAGCCACCTTGGGTCCCTTATGGGGAGAAAGGTGGTGTTTAAATAACTACAATAATTTAAATAAATAAAAAGGGGAAAGAGGGATAAAATTGCCAAAAATTAGAACATGTTTCTGAAAAACAATGCAAAAATAAATAAATAAAAAATAAAAATGGAAAATTAAAATCTGTACCTTCAAGGAAGGCTGTGCTAAAAGAAATTATTAGTAATATAGAAAACTGTTTTGTATTTAATCAAACCAATGATCTGTCTAGTCCTGTCTTGTCCACTAATAAGCAGTGCCTCTTTACATATTAGTTTAGCAGCCTCCAACCTCAAAAATTGTCAACACTAGTAAGAATTCTAGACAGACTTTCCTGCTGCTATCTTTAAACTGACGCGCAATTTTCTTCATTACCAAAACACCACAAAATTGAGAAATGATCTTTAAAAATGAGAGCCACTGCTTTTCAAGTCAAGCCACAAGCTCATTAAATACAAAGATACAGAACCAGATCTAAATGAACCTCAATAAATCTTTTAATCTATTACCTTTCTGCTAGTAACCTGAGATGCAATCATCAAGCTAATTATGATCCGTGATGACCTCCCAAGAGTGTGAGCTTTAATCAAGCCTTCTTGTACAAAATAATTTGCTTTTTCAAAATAAGGTGAAGTAAGATTTAAAACAGTTATTCCAATATAATCTATCCATAATAAATGAGAGTAAAATTCATTCTTTTCAAACCTTGCTTTCATATTTAAACTTGCCTGTGTATTAATATCATTAATGAGTCAAAAGCTGACATATTTGCCTGCCAAATTTCCAATCACCTACATACCTATCTGTCTATTTTGACAGACAAAAACATACAAATGCACATGTTACCAATGAAAAAAGGCCTTAGAAAAAAGGTTAGATATTCCCGTCATCATGACATATTACTATATTATTCTTTTGAATACTGTTTTCCAGTAAAAGAAACCAAAGTACGTCATGACGTTTTCCAGGAAACAATTTCACATTCTGTAATTTTATTAATCAGTTTCGATAATCTGGAAATCTGCTTACTGTAGTGTTGGGTGGCAGATAAATGTAAGAGGCTCCTAAATCCAGAAATGCCATTTCTGAGTTAATTTATACACAATCAAAGCTTTCATTATCTGCATAGAAATAGGTCAAACTAAATTGAATTGGATTATGGTAACTAGGTTGACATATAGAAAACAAATTAGGGTAAAATGGGAAAAGATAAGTGATGATAGTAAGGGGAGGAGGAAGAGAGCTGATAGTAAGGGGAGGAGGAAAAGAGCTTTTTGGAAGATGCAGAAGCCTTTCATTGTGTCAAGGTTTTTTAAAAAAATAGTTATAAGATGATTCCCTGCTTTGTATCTTATTCCAAATACATGGGCGTTTTAATCCGGAACGGATTAACCTCGCTACACGGGGCACCACTGTATGGTTCTTGATAGCTCAGTGAGATGGAGCATCTGTCTGTGGAGCCAGCAGTCAGAAGTTCAATTCTCCACCATGCCTTTTAGGATGACAGTCAGTCTGCGTAGTCTTGGGCAAGCTACACTATCCCTGAGTGCCCCCAAAAGAAAGTAATAGCAAACCACTTATGAATATATCTAGAAAGTCCTGGAAAAAATCAGCATACATAAGAATCAATACATAATTAAAACACTGAAATTAAATGCTACAACTAGAGATGGGCATGAATCAGAAAAATGTGATTCATTTTGATTCGTGATTCAGCAAGGTCAATGAATCATGAATTAAGAATTTATGACTTTTTAAAATTTAAAACCCTATAAAATGTTCCCCTCACACACCTGGACACACCAAATTTGCAGGAAAGCTTCTCCTGACTCCCCTGCACAAGTCCTGCAAATTTGGTGATGTTTGGAATTCAGATATCCATGTTATACACCCACAAAGTGGGTCTCCCAGGAAAGTGCCCTTTAGCAGCTGGCTTTGTTGTTGTTTAGTCGTTAAGTCGTGTCCGACTCTTTGTGACCCCATGGACCAGAGCACGCCAGCCCCCCCTGTCTTCCATTGCCCCCCAGAGTTTGGTCTTAGGGAAACTGGCTTAGGAAAACCCAATCTTCACAAAACCTGGCAGGATTGTAGAGGAGAGTCATGGGAAGCTTCTCTGTGATATTGGTATCTTTAGGTGCCTCGGGGGACCTTTCCTAGTGGGCCATCTTTTGGGTGCATAAGTTGGACATCTGAAACCCAAACTTCTCCACATTTGGAGGGATTGTAGAAGAGAGTCAGAGTAAGCTTCCTTGCAATTATACTTTCTCCAGGTGCCTGGGGAGCTGTTTTATCAGCCAAATGATTCAATGACATAAAATTGCTAATAATTCATTGATTTGCCTTTGTTGGGGCATTGATTCATATGAATACGGATTGATGAATTAGCAATTTCTGAATAAAGTTGGTGATTCATTTTTAAATTCATGCCCATCTCTAGCTATAACCCATAAATACAATCAGTCTTAGCCAGCATAGTAAGTGGTGAAGGATAATGGGAAATGCATAAAAAAATTGAAAGGCCATGATTGACCATCCTTTCAACTTCAGGATTAACAATAATTGTAATGCTAAGTGCTGACTCTGTAATAGCCTTGGGCAGACTTCTAAAACATCAGATAGTCCTGTCCATGTATGCCAAGAAAACTATTGAGTAACTTTAATATTCCTATTTCAACCCACACTCTATTTCAGACAGACTTGTTCACTGAGGAAAGGTTATTAAAAAAATAGCAAGCCACTAGTAAAACTTTTTGAGGCTGTTTAAAGATGTGAAAGGAGGACTGAAGTCCAAACTCTTGAAGCAGCTCTATTTCTGTTTCTTTATATTTGGAAGTAAAGGCTCAAGCTAACAACAAACAAACATTAATATTTTAACTCATTATAAAGATGCTTTTAAGCACAATTTATGTCCCAGACATATAGTTAAATTACTGCAATCTGCTAATTACCTCCATCTGCTAATGTCTGTCCACCTCCTCCATTTTTTAATATTTCCAAAAGGAGGAAAATTCAGTGTGAGGATAGGGACCACATATTTCAGGGAAGATTCAGCACTGGTTAGGCCTCACCTTGAATATTGTGTCCATTTCTGGACACCACACTTCAAGAAAGATGCTAACAAACTGGAACAAGTTCAGAGGAGGGCAACAAAGATGATCAGGGGATTGGAAACCAAACCTTATGAGCAAAGACTGAAAGAGTTGGGCATGTTTAGCCTTGAGAAAAGAAGACTGAGGGGTGATATGATAGCATTTTTCAAATATTTGAAAGGCTGTCATACAGAGAAGGGGCAAATATTCCATATGAACCTACCTGGCAGTTAAGATCTAGCCAGGGGGCCCTTTTGAAAGAGCCATCCCTTAAGGAGGTAAGAGGGACGGCTTGTAGATAAAGGGCCTTTTAGGCAGCTGCCCCCAGACTATGGAATGCCCTCCCGACTGAGATTCGTCTGGGGCCGACGCTGATGAGATTTCGGCGCCAGGTCAAAACCTTCCTGTTCTAGAAGGCTTTTAATTTAAATAATATTAGCTGTGGGTCCAATGGCAATTTTATATATATATTAATTGTTACGAATTTTTATTGTATTTTAAATATTGTAAGCTGCCCAGAGACCCTTGGGTAGTGAGGGCAGCATATAAATTAAATTAAATAAATAAATAAATAAATAAAAGATCTGTTCTTGATCATCCCAGAGTGCAGGACACATAACAATGGGCTCAAGTTAAAGGAAGCCAGATTTCAGTTGGCTATCAGGAAAAACCTCCTAACTGTTAGAGCAGTACGACAGTGGAACCAGTTACCTCGGGAGTTGGTGAATGCTCTGACACTGGAGGCATTCAAGAAAAACTTAGATAATCACCTGGCAGATATGCTTTGGTTGCATTCCTGCATTGAGCAGGGGGTTGGACTTGATGGCCTTGTAGGCCCCTTCCAACTTCACTTTTCTATGATTCTATGAGGATGAAGAGAGAACTCTGCATTAAATAGTAGTCTCATGTTTCTTGCGATGAATCCTTCTGCTCTTAGATTTACTTATTTACACCATAAATGTGGATTAACTGAAGTTCCTCTTTCCCAGCATTAAAACTCCTGTGATATTTTGTATTTCTTCTTCCTTTTGTACCAGTAAGTTGTAGAATAGGATCTAGCGACAGTATCCACTCCTTGCTGATCAACTTTGTATAATTAAATTTGTCTGAATTTGAATTAATAATCTCTATTTATTTTATCTGTAGTTACTATCTTATGCAACCAAAACATTAAAATGAAATAAAATCTCTCCTGCACACAATCAGTTCTGCCAAAACACTGAAGATATTAAAAGACATGTGCTGAAGCAAAGAAAGTCAATATGATTTGATTACATAAAGATCAATTAACACCAAGCTTTTATGTTTTAAAAAAATCACTGATCGGTTTAGTAGTGGAATGGAGAAATGTAAACAGATATTACAACAGCAGACAGATTGATCCAGAGTCCTGCTCTGACCTTTAAAGCTCCAGTTGAACGTCCTGCTAAAAGAGGTGAAGTTCCAGTGCTAAGAACGAGCAAAAATAACAAATTGAACAATCAACTCCTGTGATAAACCATTTTGTTTTCATCTTCCTTCCACTAGTACTGACCAGTAAAGCATTAAAAGGAGATTGTCAGCCTGAGCTGTAAGTGCCTGCCACAGCTTGTGCCTCAGTCTCCCAGTTGTCACTCACTTGTGAGATTTCTTCCAGTTTGTTCCACTAGGCCCTGCACCGCAGTCATATGCCTGGATGATGAATGTGTACTCCTTCTGCAGTTCACAGTCAATTGGACGTCTTGCTCGAAGACGACCTTCTCCAGATGTCTTGTTTAGCACTACTGCTTCAAAGGGCATTTCCTGTCCATGGATTTTAAAAGCACAGATTTCACCTGGAAGGGATAAACAGAACACAGATTAAATGGTCATCAGGCAGGCTGTTTATCTGCAGCTGCTGAAATGACACTGAACATTATCACACTCACAGCTGTGTTAAACAAGAGCCTAAAATCTGGCAAGGTTTCTGAATATACTGTAAGCAACAGTGGCCAACTAATGCCAAAGAAGAATGTGAATGCAAAGAGGTAAGTGGAAATGAAGAAACTATTTTTTTTTCTTTACTGCTCCTGAAAAGGGGGAAAAATTCTGAAATATACCATGGACATTATTAAAATGTTTAGACTTTTATTGATAAAGGAGGCTGGTTTGCCACTTACGACTCTGAAAGTTGCAGAAGAAAACATTCAGTAGTTAAGAGGTGGGGTATCTGTACACACAAAATTTATTTATTTA